GAGAGTGCCCAGTCCCTGAGTGCCCAGGACTGGCACCAAAAAAATCCAGTTGGGTGCTTGTGGCTCATGCCTGTAATCCTAGCTATTCAGGAGGCTGAGATCTGAGAATACTGGTTCAAAGCCAGTCCGGGCAGGAATATCTGTGAGACTCTTATGTCCAATAAACCACCAGAAAACTGGAAGTGGTGCTGTAGCTCAAGTGGTAGAGTGCTCACCTTGAGCTTAAGAGCTCAGGGACAGCGTCCAGGCCCAGAGTTCAAGACAAACGAAAAAAAAAACACAAAACACACACACACACACACACACCCCAAACCAAAACCTGCACTGGCTGAAGGATGGACAGAGTGTTAGCAGAACTCTACACAGAACTTCCTGGTGGTAGGGATGAAATAAATGGCAGGAAGTAACATGCTGTATTACCTTAAATATGATAGCCAATCTCAGCTTTACTAATGGTGGCATGGTTAGATGCTATGAGTCCAAAGACTACTGGAACAGTTGGAAAAATATGATCTTGGGCTAAGTATTACACAATATTAAGGAATTTATAATTTTTTTTAATGCAGAAATGCTCTGTAGGCTATTTTGGAAAGCAGCCTTAGTTTAAAAAATAGACACTAAATTAAAAAAAAACCACAAAAATATTTGGCTGGTTGCTTTCTGATCAGGAATGTAAATCTGGCACAGCACTGAAAATATAATTGGTTTCCAAGAAGTAGGGGAAGAGATATATATTTTTAAAGGAAGAAAGCAATGCAGACACAGAAGAAGCAATTCTCTTTACACCCTTTTCCTCATGCTGAATATGGCCAGCAGCCCAATTAGTCACAAGGAAAAGGCAAATAGCAAAGCAACAGGAAGACATGTTGTTGGCCAAAATGTTACTACAGTGATGACCAAAACATCAACAAAACACTACAAATCTGAAGATTGTATTTAATTTAATAGCCACATCTAAGTATGTTTTTAAAAGGAGCATTATTGGAAGTGCAGTGCAGCAGTGAAGGGCCTTTGAAAAGGGCCTGGAGTACTTGGCTTAGGAGATGGTAACTTTGGGCTTTCTGGTTGTAGTCCAGCTTTGTAGTAAGCTCTTTATATGATAATTGACATACTTCTCTATGCCTTCTACAGTTCTCTCTATAGTGAGATGCTTGGATGAGAACTTAAGAGGGTGTGTGTATGTGTGTGTGTGTGTGTGTGAGAGAGAGAGCGAGAGAGAGAGAGCGAGAGAGAGAGACAGAGAGACAGAGAGAGAGACAGAGAGATTGAATGTATGTGTGCTGGTACTGGGGCTTGAACTCATGGGCTGGGTTCTGTCCCTTAGCTTTTTCGCTCAAGGTTGGCACTTTAACATTTGAGCCACACCTCAACTTCCAGCTTTTTGCTGGTTCATTAGAGATAAGAGTCTCAGACTTTTCTGCCCAGGCTGGCTTTGAACTGTGATCCTCAGATCTCAGCTTCCTGAGCAGCTAGGATTACAGGTGTGAGCCACCGGTGCCTGGCTGAAAATCTAGAGTTTTGGAAACTTGTAATTAGAGGGAATGAGTACACATGTAAGCATTCATCTCATTAAGGCCAAGATTGTTCTGCAAGTCAATGATTCTACAAGGTAAAGGCTACTCTTTTTGTTACATATGCTGTTCTATTTGTAAGGCTCAATGCCATGTAAAGAAAGCAGATGAAGCCGGGTGCTGGTGACTCATAGCTGTAATTCTAGCTATTCAGGAGGCTGAGATCTTAGGATTTCTGTTTAGAGCCAGCCTGGGCAAAAAAGTCCATGAGAGCCCTATTTCCAATAAGCCACTCAGAAAACACCAGAAGTGCTTGCTAGCCTGAGCACCAAAGGGCTGGAGGACAGTGCTCAGGCCCTGAGTTCAAGCCCCAGGAAAGAAAGAAAGCAGATGAGTCATTTGACTGAGAACAAACAGGAAATTTTGTCCTCTTACCTTTTCCCATACCTGGCATTTTTATTATACTTCTAGTTAAAAAAAACACAACTGATTATTGTTTAATGGTCTGCAGCCACCATGAATAACAACAGCATATTCAGTGGTCCATCTTGTCAGTATCTACCTCACTAAATTACAAAATTATCTGACTCATCAGGACAAAACCAACATATTCTTATCTAGACAGTAAATTGAAAAAAAGCAATTTTCCCATCTCTGAGAAAGATAATTGATCTGATTTTGCTGTCAGTCTATCACACAAAGCTGAAAAGTTGAAATTATTTTTTTACTCTCCCTCACCTTTCATCATCCACCCAGAGTTACCAAGTCATAATGAGTTTCTTTTAATAATGTCTCTCCCATCTATCTCTTCTGTTATCATGTAAGTTCAAGTCACTATTATCTCCCAGGCTTGGATGACTACGATATTCTTTCCTTTTGTAAAACTAACACATGTTCATTATAGCCAAATTGGAAGTTTCAGAAAGGTAGACAGTCATATTAGTTACCCACAATTCCACTGGCTAGAGAAGCACATTCATTCTGACCCATTTCCTACCACTCATTGCTCTATGTGTGTATTAATATATTTCCATCAAAATAGGACTGCAATATACTATACATTTATAATTTGCCTTTTACTCAAGTATTTTAGACATTGAAGGTTTTGAAAACTTAACTTTTAAAAATGAATTCTTGATTGTTGATTTTTCATTAGTTTCTAATTTTCACAGTAATAAACAAATGATACATTAATAATACTTAAGTCATTATTGGATCATTTTCTTAAAAATCTATTTCTAAAAGTATAATTATAGAAGCAAAAAGTCTTGGGTACATTTGACCAAATTGCCTTCAAGAAAGGATATACAAAAGATACAAACTCCAAATTTGAAATGTTCCCAAATCAGAGTGCTTTTTGAGCACTGATATGGACTTAAAAAGTTTTAGATTTTGGAGCATTTTAGAGTTAGCCTGTAATCTTAGGTACTCAGGAGGCTGAGATCTGACGATCATGGTTCAAAGCCAACCTAGATAGGAGTCCTTAACCACCTGAAAGCTGGAAATGGAGCTGTACTTCAAGTGGTAGAGTGCTACCCTTGAGAAAAAAAAGCCAAGTTAGAGTGTGAGGCCCTAAATTCAAGCCCCAATATTGGTACGTGCATGTGTGAATGCATGGGCGCACACACACACACACACACACACACACACACACACACACACACACACACAACTCATCATTAACACTAAGCACATAAAATGTGCCAGATACATCAGCTGGTTTCGATTAAGTCCATTTTCATGTATTAAACTAACTGGATCCAAATAACCTACTATGAGGTAGGGGCTACTGTAATTTCCACTATATAAATAGGAAAACCGAGTCTCAGAGAAGCTAAGGAAATTACCTAAGGTCAAAAAGATGGTAAATGACATAGCTGCAATCTGCATGCAGACAATCTGACTCCAGAACCCAGGTTATTATCTAGTATGCTTTGCTACTTTCCTAAATTAACTGCCTTCTGCCTGTTATTGCTCAGTTAAGATATATAAAATGATATTGATATTTATTTCACTCAATATCTTCATTATCTCATTATAGCAAAATGTATTTACACAGAAACCTCTAACTATTTTCTTCCCATATGCCTTAAAATTTTAATCACAAATCCTAGCATGAGAGTCTGCAGGAAAGTAACTACAATAGTTTCCATGGGCTTGGAGTCCAGCTTTCTATGCAATAGCACAAGTACATTTTAATTGTTTATGCTCACTTTGTATTTTCCTGCATTATGAGTTCCTGATTTTTTGTGTTTTTTTTTTTTTTTTTTTTTTTTTTTGTCGGTTGTGGGGCCTGAACTCTGGGCCTGGGTACTGTCCCTCAGGTTTCAGCTCAAGGTTAGCACTCTACCACTTGAGCCACAGCGCCACTTCCAGCTTTTTCTGCTTATGTGGTGCTGAGGAATCGAACCCAGGGCCTCATGCATGCAAGACAAGCACTCTACCACTGAGCCACCTTCCCAGCCAATGAGGTCCTGTTTTAAGAGTCAGAAGGTTTGTCTATTAGGTTAGCTTAATAGAAGAGGTTCATGTAACTGTAACCCCTCCGTTGTACAGTACTCTCACAATAAAAAAACTTATTTAAAAAATAAGAGAGGTTCCTCCTCCTGTGTGTTTGGGTAAAATATGTTTCCTACCACAAAAGGAGAATGGAGCCCAGTGATGAGGTGGGCAAACATTCTAGTTTCTTAGATACTTGGCCTGAGATACAGCATTTCAAGTCAACACTTCTTTAATGTTTCACTAAGTTGTAAGTTTAAAATAACCAATTTAAAGTTAGGTACAGGTAGCTCATGTTTGTAATCCTAGCTACTCAGGAGGAAAACCAGCCTGGTCAGGAAAGTTAGACTCATCTCTAATTAATTACCAAAGGGCCGGAAGTAGAGTTGTGCCTCAAGTAATATAGTGCTAGCCTTGAGCACAATGCCCTGAGTTCAAGTCTCAATACCAGCAAAAACACACACACACACTTCAAAATGTAAATTTAATACATGCTACAACAAAATAAATCTTGAAAACAGGATGCTAAGTAAAGTTAACTAGACAGAGAAGGACAAATACCATAGGGGTCCACATATAGGAGCTACCTACAACAGGCAAATTCACAAATAGGGGAGCAGTGGTTATAGGGGCAGGGGACTAGAGAATAGAGAGCCACTGTTTAGTGGGCTCTGTTTCTATTCAGGAGGATGCACAAGTTCTACAAACAGATAATTATGACAGCATTGTAAATATACTTTATGGCACTGAACAATTCACTTATAAATGGATGAAATGTTTCATGTTTATACATACATATATATGTATGTATGCATGTATGTGTATATATATGTATATTTACATATATATATATATATATATATATATATATATATATATATATATATATATATATATATATATATATATATATATAAAACCACCTTAAAAGAAATCCCATAGACCCCAAAATTCTAACCAGTTTTAAATTCATAAGAAGTTTGTGTTTACCAGGGTATCATCATTTTGGTCTCCAAACATTTCTTTAAAAATCTTGCCAGGATCAGGAATTGGAGGGAATATAATGATCTTGAGCCTTTAAGAAAACAGAGAAAGTATGGATCAAACCTTCTGGTACATCAGAATGTCCCATGTTAGTACAGCCATATCAAAAGTTACCTTTACCTTTCTAAAGGCAATGATTATTGGGTGCCAGTGGCTTACACCTGTAATCTTAGCTACTCAGGAGGTTGAGCTCTAAGGATTGTGGTTCAAAGCCAGACAGGGCAGGAAAAGTACATGAGACTCATATCTCCAATTGATTACCAGAAAACTGGAAGTGGAGCTGTTGGTCAAGTAGTAGAGTGCTAGCCTTGAGCAAAAGAGCTCAGGGACAGTGTCCAGGCCCTGAGTTCAAGTCCCACAACCAACTGAAACTCCCCAAAACAAAAGGCAATGATTGCAAGGTGCCAATGGCTCAAACTCCTAGCTGGTCAGTAGGCTGAAATATGAATATTGTGGTTCAAAGCTGGCCTGGGCAAGGAAGTCCATGAGAATCTTATCTCCAATTAAGTACCAAAAATCCAGAAATGGAGCTGTGGCTCAAAGTGGTAGGAGCACTAGCATTGTGCACAAAAACTCAGACAGCCCCCAGGCCCCAAGTTCAATTCCCAGGACCAGCAAACACATACATAAAAGCAATGATTGTAAGAGCATCATGTTTGGGTAGAGCACAAATGAAACACCATGATAAGCAATTTATTTACATCCTATCACAGAATTTTTGTGTTTGGTGGTACTAGGGTTTGAACTCAAGGACTTACACTTGTTTGGCAGGTGCTCTACCAATTGAGCCCTTTTTTTGCTTTCAGTTATTTACCACAAGAGCAATATGCAGTCCCCTATAGTGAGATAGGGAACATAAACCATTTTTAAAGAATAAGTAGCATTTATTAGTATCTGGTAAAGTTGTCTTTTCTAAATACTGGGTAGCAGCCTGCTTTGCTTTAGTTACTTGACAAGTCACTTCACTAGCAACAGTTTTCATTCCCTTTTTTGGTGGTAGGAATCGAGCTTAGGTCCTTACTCATGCTAACCATGTGTTCTACCACTAAGCTATACCTGTAGCCTCTATTCTTAAAACCTCATTCTAAGACCTACCAGCTAACTTGATTTATCAGGTACTGGAAGAAGTAATTGAACACAGGGCCTCTTTAGCAGTTCCAATCACATGCAAAATGAGCTGCAACTGAGCAGAGCTGTGAAAAATGTACCCTAGGCTTACTTTCCTTACCACAAAGTGGACAAAGTACATCTTTGCCATGTCATACCAGTAGAAGTCATTTGTGGCCACGATTCATCTAATATACTGGACAAATATAAAATAGCAGCATAAAGAGTAGTAACCATAGCAACAAGGCTAGCAGAAAGAATACAAGCTTCACCGACTGCTGCCTTACCTCTTAAGGTAAAGTAGAAGGACGATGATTGCACCTGCGACAATTACTGGGATGATAAGCAACATGGTGATGTAGAATGTGGAGTTGGGCTTCTTACCTACACAGTGGAGAACAAACAGCAAGACGTGAGAAGCATCAATACTTTTAGCTAATGAGATCAGATGTATCCATCCCTACCTCATTCCCTTTGACCACACTCTTCAATCATCTTATATTCTGTTACCTCGAGTTTTGGAAAATGATCTGCTCTGGTCCCTAAACTCTCTGGATCAGTCAACACCTTTATTATCTGCAATCCAGGTGTCTTAACTTGCTTCAGACATTAGTAACAAAGATATCCTATTAAATGTGACATCTCATCAAGAGTGTCTGCCTTTTCTTATTGTTTATCATTACTTAAAAAAACTAAGTGTGAATCAAGTGCCACATTGCCTTTTGAGAGCAAGGTCCTAAATTCAATCCCTAGCACCAAATAAATAAATAAGTTCTTGGTGGAGTGCTGTGGCTCACACCTGTAATACTAGCTAATCAGGAGGCTGAGATCTGAGGATCGTTGTTCAAAAGCCAGCCAGGGCAGGAAAGTCCACGAGACTCTTATCTCCAATTAACTCCCAGAATACTGGAAATGGTACTGTGGCTCAAAGTAGTAGAGTGCTAGCCTTGAGTGAAAAAGCTCAGACAGTGCCCAGGCCATGAGTTCAAGCCCCACAACTGACAAAAAACACTAAAATAATCCTAATAACTACTACGCTACTAGGATTCCCTTTTAGTGGTACTGGGGTCTAACTTAGGGCCTCATGCTTGCTAGTCCTCCAGTCCTTTATTGCTTTTAGTTGTTTGGATAGGGTCACACATTTTTGTCCAGGGCTGGCCTTGGACTGTGATACTCCTAGCTATGCCTCCCATGTAGCTGGGATGATAGATGTATGTCACCATCCCCAGCTTGTTGGCTGAGATGAGGTCTTGAAAATGTTTTGCCCAGGCTGCTGTCAAGTATGATCCTCCCAATCTCTGCTCCCCAAGGGGCTGGGAGGACAGGTATGCCCCATCATGCCCTGACTACTATGATTTCTTTTTTAGGGGGTCCAGTTGTGGGGCATGAACTCTGGGCCTGGGCACTGTCCCTCAGCTCTTCAGCTCAAGGCTAGCGCTCTACCTCTTGAGCCACAGTGCCACTTCCGGCTTTTTTTTCCTTTTTGCTTATGTGGTGCTGAGGAATCGAACCCAGGGCCTCATGCATGTGAGGCAAGCGCTCTACCACTGAGCCACCTTCCCAGCCCCTTTCCATGAGACTTTTATCTCCAATAAATCACAAAAAGAGCCGGCAGTGAAGCTGTGGCTCAGTGGTAGAGCAGTAGCCTTGAACTGAAAAAGCTCAGGGACAGCACCCAGGCCCCAAGTTTAAGCCTAGGACTGGCAAAAGCGGGGGGCGGGGGCATGGGGAAATGGGATGTAATTTCCAAGATTAGGTGATGAAAGATCAGGACTTTCACACTGGGTGTTCTCTCATATATTCTTTCTTGCTTGGATCTGTCACTTAGGGAAACCAATTCCCTTGTCAGAAGGAAGGTTATATGGGAAGGTCCAAGAAGCAAGGAACTAAGGGAGGTCTCTGTATTTGTTTCTTGTTGTTGGCTGTGACAAATCATCATACACTAGATGGCTCCAAACAAGAAAATGTATTCTGTTACAGTTCTAGAGGCTAGAAGTTCAAAATCAATGTATTAGCAAGGTCATACTCCCTCTTAAGGCTCTAGTGAGGAATCCCTCCTGCTATACCAACATTACTGCTTGAGACCAAGAGTGGCTTTTAGAGATATGGAAGGCTCCAGTGTTGAGTCCAATTGAATTTACAGTCAAGTGAAGCCATGTACCCCACTCTATGACCACCTACGTTTATACAGCCTGTATCTTTCCCATCTTGTACTTGAATCTGGTTTACTCAGTGTTACCACCAACAAATGATTTCTGTTTTCAAACCTAGATACAAGTTTATTTGTACTAAATACCATCATGGATATTACTCCCCTCGATTCTATATAGGATAGGGTTTGTGTTTGTGTGTGTGTGCACACACACATGCCAGTAATGGAGTTTGAAGTCAGAGCACTACACTTTTGCTCAGCTTTCTTGCTCATAGCTGGTGTTCTTCCATTCATGTCTCCAGTATAGGAAAAGTTTTCTGGCATGGTATAGCTTAAGGATTTAATCATGCCTCCTTCTATGTATTTGTTCTGGTTATACATAAAGATGGACATGGGACAGATAAGAGAACACCACTTGGATTATAGTTTTCCAAAGAGCTGCATATTGTCAATTAATCCTGAGGGATTTGGCAGTGATTAAAGAGGAAATAAATTTCAATGTAAGTATTCTTTGGCTGACATTAAGAAAGCACAAGAGGTACTTTCCCAATGTACTTTCTGCATCAGTTTAATTTCCATGTACTGGTGTTTTATATTATGACAAAATCTGCTTCTCTTACCTATACTCATGGGCTGACTCCAATTACTCCAAAGCTTGTCATCCTCATAGCATAACTTATTTGTTTTGACTCTGATTCTGACTGTGTAAAAAGTATCAGCAATAACACCAGGGACCACCATGAAACAACTTGTAACCTTAGACACAAAATAAAAACACACAACATTACTAGTTTATTCTCCTTTCTGCTATTGAATCATGATTATCTACCAAATTCTGTATATGATTAAGACTTAGATGTCAGCTCAAATTATCTTTCACTCCTGGCAATAACCCATAGAACAAAATTGCTTGCTTTTCACCAAGCAGCTCAGATTTACAGTGTGCTGGGCCAGCCCCATGTCTAATCCCTTGGTGTTCAAGTCTAAATAGCTGAAATTGAATGTACTGACCTTACTCCCAAATTCTGAATTCTCACATTTGTTCTCTTCAACCTTGAAAATAAAAAGAATAGGTTTCAAAGTTTTCAAAACACATTGTCATTTACCCATTATCAACAAGCTTTCCTTTAGTCTAGTCCACCAAAAGAGATCCAGGTACAAAGATTCGTCTTCTTATTAAGTAGCAGTAGCTCAATTAAATATCCATAGGGGAATAAAGGAATCTTGTTCCTAACCTGACACTATCCACAAGATCAGTTCCAAATGTACTTTACATCTAAATATGGAAAGTAAATAAATGAACAAATAAAACACATTAATATAATCCAGCTTTGATATGAAGACACAGAACATTTTTTTGTGTGTGTTGGTACTGGGGCTTGGACTCAGGGCTTGGGTTCTATCTCAGCTTATTAACTCAAGGATGGAACTCTACCACTTGAGCCACAGCTCTACTTTTGGCCTTTTGATAGTTAATTGGAGATAAGAGACTCATGGTCTTTCCTGTCTGGCCTGGCTTTGAACTTCTATCCTAACTACTCAGCCAGTTTCCTGAGTAGCTATTATTACAGGTGTGAGCTGAAACCTGGTCACATAGAACATCTTTACAACCTTGAAAAAAGGAAGTTGAGTGCAAGTGACTCATATCTATAATCCTAGCTACTTGGGAAACTGGCATCTGAGGATCCAGCTTAGGAGTCAGCCTAGGTAGTCAAGTCAGAGACTCTTATCTCCAATTAACTGGATAAAAGGCAAAAAGCTGGAAGTGGAGGTGTGGTTCAAATGGTAGAGCTCCAGATGTAAATGAAAGAATGAAGTGAGAATGCAAGGCCCTGAATTCAAGTAAGCTCCAGTACCAGCATCAGAGAAAAAAAAAGGAATACAACACTTGGCACTTGGAGTAAGAACTCTGCTTTAATCAGTTATTAGAAATGTAGCCTAAGGAACAATTAAGATTTCTCATTTGTGGGGCTGGGAAGGTAGCTCAGTGGAACAGTGTTTGCCTTGCATGCATGAGGCCCTGGGTTTGCTTCCTCAGCACCACATAAGCAGAAAAAGCCAGAAGTGGTGCTATGGCTCAAGCAGTAGAGCGCTAGCCTTGAGCTGAAGAGCTGAGGGGTGGTGCCCAGGCCCAGAGTTCAGGCCCCATGACGGACAAAAAAAAATAATTCTCATTTGTAAAATGGAGAACAAATAACAGATCCTTAGGACTAGTGTGAGCTCTAAATGAGATTATTTCAAAGTAGTTACTACTATACCTACTAGAGAGTAGTCCATCAATACATGCAAGTTGCTGTTAGCAACAAGAACAGTAGAGTCGACATCAATTGACTCCTGCCTAGAGGAGTTTATATTTTCAGTGGAGAGAAAAGGCCCATATGTAACCAAGGCTTTAAATAAGCAGGACATAATTTAATAGGTTAAATGAGTTAATCCAGACAGCATATACCTCAGGATTTCCCATAGAAGCAACAAGGGGAGAGACAAGGCTGGAATAATCAAGTTCAGCTTTCTGATAATTCATTTCATCATACCCACTCCCTCCCCACAAGGAAGCCTTTTGCTTTTGCCCTTTATGGTATGTCATAAGGATACCATACCCTCTGGTACTAGTAAAGATTGTAAGCCAGCAGATAAAGTCATCTGTAAATGCCCAGGAGAGCTTTGCTCTGCTGTGGACGTAGCTACTCCCACTGGAGCTACTGCCTGTCAACACTGGCTTATTTTAGTAAGTTCCTTGATGAACTGGACCAAAGAACTTGCCCACATGCACAATACTTGGCTCTTTTAAAAGCAAATATAGTTTGCATCAAACCTCTAAAACTCAAAAGACAAAAGAACCAGACAAGAAGCAAACAAGTGAGTGGTACAGTCCCTGTGGTCTTTAGGCCCCACCTTATGGAAATATGCTCCTAGGGCAAATGATTTTAAATTTGGGCAAAAAATGTAATAAGCAAAGAAACAAATGAACTCCTACTTTGCCTGTGGTCCAAACAAAAAACTAAGGCCTTAATTTGTGACATCTATTGGAAAGATATCAATGGGACTGAAGTTACACTACATTCTGGTGAAGGCCTAGTAGGGACCTCAAACTGGTATGTTTTGCATTAGATTCTGAGCAGCATAAATGCACATAAACAAATATGCCTCAGATTCGACTATGTTCTCAATACCAACTCCAAGAAAATGGGGGCTTCTAAGTATCTACACAATCTGATCTCTGCCTACTGCTTCAATAGCTTTTCTGCTATATTTGCCCACACCAGCCCCTTTTCTCACACATATCAAGTTCATCAGTGCCTCAGACTTTCTATCTGTTGTCTCTTTTAAGCCCAGATTTGCATACATTTAGCTGCTGCTCAGTATTCTGGTCTCCTATTAAATGCTGTTATTTTATGACTTCACTAGCTAACAGCCCCTCAGGCCTTCCCAGCCACCCTTGTACATCACTCCATTTTACTTTCTTCATACTACTCTTGCTCTGAAATTAGTTTGTTCATTTTCACATTCTTATTTTCTAATATGCAAGCTCATGAAGGCAAAAAAATTTATTCATCCATCAGGTGTCACGGTCATTGCCTTAGCTCCAGCACATAAATCGATACCTGGAATATGGTAGACACTTAAAAAGGGGGGGGGGGGCTGAATGAATGAATTAATGAATGACTGGAACCTTGCAGCCAATGTTATCTTATACCCTCAAATCTTCCACGATGCCCTATTTCAAAACAAATGTTTCATTATCATTTTTACCCCACAAAAACCTACAATTCATTGATGATTCAGTGTAGGAAATTCCAGAAAAAGAAACATATCCAAAGAAAAATAATGATCTGAAAAACTTACATAGAAAGTACCATGGGTCTCAGTCTGGCTGTTGTTGACCTCTACTTCATAAGATAAACATCTGCTACTAAAATTCTGTGGATTCTCCCACTGCACATATAAAGCACTATCTTTGAAGAAGAGATTTTTAATATGTGGAGGATCAGGTTTCACTGAAAAATAGAAGAAAACAAATTAGCTTTCTAAAGTTTAAATTCAATTAGTACAGATGGGTTTTAATGGCTTTTACATGATATGTTATATAGCTGTAGAATTTCTGAATAGCCACAGTTAGTGGAGGAAGCTGGTTAGTAAAATAGGTTTAAGGAACATCTTTGCTGGTGTCTGATAGATAACATGAACTCCGACCTGTATCTGGTTAAAAATGCCCAGGTTATAAAAAGGACATCTGCTTAGGTCTAGATGAACTTCACCTGAGGAGTAACAAGATACCTAGCTGTTACTCTTTCAGGCCAATCCAAGACTACAATTAAAACATTATCCTAAATTGGGTGCCAGTGGCTCAGGCCTATATTTCTGCTATTCAGGAGCTGACATCTACAGATTGGAGTTCAAACCAGCCCAGGCAGGGAAGTCAATGAGATTCTTATCTCCGATTAGCCTCCAAAAAGCAGGAAGTAGAGGAATGGCTCAAGTAGTAAACCACCAGCCCTGAACAAAAAAACTAAGGGACATCACAGGCCCTGAGCACCAGCACAACACACAGATATACTCTCTCTCACACACACACAACAACAACAACAACAAAAACTTAGTCTTGCAGGGTGCTGATGGCTCATGCTTATAATCCTAGCTATTGGGGAGGCTGAAATCTGAGGATGAGGATCACAGTTTGAAGCCAGCCCAGGCAGGAAAGTCCATGAGACCCTTATCTCCACTAAATTATCAAAAAGCCAGAAGTGGGGCTTTAGCTCAAGTGGTAGAGCACTAGCCTTGAGCCAAAAAAGCCAGAGACAGCACCCAGGCCCTAAATTCAAGCCCTAGGACAGGTACAATAAAAACAATACCAAAGGGAAAAAAAAACAAATTGTTTAAATAGGGATACAGATTGACCATTGCAACAATGAAATGTACAAGACACTATGTCGAAAAACGAACTTTACAATTTAGGCAGGGGTGGGGGTGGGGGTGGATGGTGGGGGGGTGGGGGGGTCGATAGGGAGGTGGGGGGTGGGGGGTGGCTGTAGCTGAGGAGGTGGGAGGGAAGGGATAGTAGGGGAAAAACAAAGGAGGAGGCAACAATGCTCGATAAGAAATGTACTCATTACCTTGCTCATGTAACTGTAACACCTCTGTACAGTATTTTCACAATAAAAAACTTAATTAAAAAAACAAAACCAAAATTATTCTAGTCTCCATCACATGCATGGATGCACCTTGGAGTTCTTATGCTAAGTGAAATAAGTGAATCAGAAAAAAGACAAATACTGTATAATTCCATTCACATGAGATATCTAGAATAATCAAAGTCATAGAATCAGAAAGTATAAAGGTGGTTGCCAAGGGCTTAGGGGAGGAGAGAGATTAATGTCTAGTGGGCTAGTTTCAGTTTTGCAAGATGCAAAAGTCCTAGAGATCATATTGTGCAACAATGTGAATATACAACTAAACTATTAAACTGTACAGTAAAAAATGTTATGGTAAACTATTATAACCACAATTAAAAATAAAATAGTTGTTAAAAAGTCTCTTCCAAGCCAATTCACTTTTGCAGGAATTAACTATACTTAAAAGCAAGTAACAATAATTGATCATTAACAGAAAACAACTTGTAGATGTCATTTTCTGGCTGAGAAGGCTTGCCTTATGTTACCAGTAATTCCACTAAGAGTAAAAAGCTAAGTCTTAAAACTAGGATACAAAGAAGGTTTGTTTCAGGCTACCACACATGCAAACTACCCAGATTTCATTCTCTAGGCTTAAAAAAAAAGTCTGCCTTAATCACGAACTCTAATAACAACAGATGCTGGAGGGGATGTGGACAGAAGGGAACCTTACTGCATTGTTGGTGGGAGTGTAAACTTGTTCAACCACTTTGGACAGCAGTATGGAGGTTCCTCAAAAGACTCCACATAGAGCTCCCCTATGACCCAGCAATCCCACTTTTGGGCATTTACCCAAATGATCACAAACAAGACCATACTAAAGCTACCAGCACAACTATGTTTATTGCAGCATTATTTACCATAGTTAAGATATGGAACCAACTCAGATGCCCCTCATTAGATAAATGGATCAAGAAAATGTGGTATATATACACAATGGAATTCTATGCCTCCATCAGAAAGAATGACATTGCCCCATTTGTTAGGAAATGGAAAGACTTGGAAAAATTACATTAAATGAAGTAAGCCAGGCCCAAAGAAACATAGGTCCCATGGTTTCCCTTATTTGCAATAACTAGTATACGTCTGAGATAAGCAAAAATGGTCAGATAAGTTAATGTTAGGCTAAATGAACCCCAAGATAAGGAGTCAAATGGTTTTTCTTTCTTGTGATTGTTTCTAACATTTATGATTTCTTTGTTGCTTTGTATGTCCCTCCCACACAGTATAACCCCTGTTTTCACTGTATTTGATGTTGGTATATTTTGTGGAGGGGAAGGGAAAAAAACAAATCTTTTAAATAGGGATACAGGTGGATCCATTGAGACGTTATGTTGAAAAAGGAACTTTACAACTTTGGGGGGGGGGGGGGTCGGGGGGGGGGGAGATGGGAAGGGATGGGAAGGGGAAACAAAGGAGGAGGCAACAATGCTTGATAAGAAATGTACTCATTACCTTGGCCATGTAATTGTAACCCCTCTGTACGATATTTTCACAATAATAATAATAATAATAATAATAAAGTCTGCCTTTGGTTTCCTCTTAAATATTATTCTGTTTCCAGACTTGAAAGCCTTCATGTAATGAGTTCTTTACCAGTAAATCATCTGTATACCACTTAATCAGAATCTGAGCTTCTTGTTAAGGTATTACAACAAATGAACTGGTATTTTGCTTTAGAGATTTACAAAACATTTTATATACTTTATATAATTTGAACTTTGTGACAAAGTCTTTGGGGCCAAATGGGGCTACATAGTCCATTTTACAGATAAGAAATATGAGTTTATATGTCAGAAGTTAAGAGGAACTAGTATCTTAAAAGATGAGGCCTTTAACAGACCAGAATTCAGCTAGTGTCTCAGGTATGTTTATCTGGGCTGTTCTGATTAGTCAGTGCCTATGCTGCACAGTGTTAAATGGTTTGGGATGGGGTGTAACAGTGGTAGATGTACCCAGCATTCTGAAGGCTTTGGGTCAACCCTCAGCATCTCTGATTACACCACCTTCAATCTAAACTTTTTCTAACTGGGACAGATTACTCAGTAACTATATAATCATATGAGCATCATCCTTTCAAGTAAAAACGTGAAAAAGAGACTTTATCTTAAGAGTGAGGCAGCCTGCATTGTAATCCTAGTTTTACAACTAATTGCTCTTAAGTTTCAGCCTAAGTAAACAAAGATAAAGCATCTGACACAAATGTTGAACAGAATTTCCAAACTTGCTGCTTTAATAAAGGATCTAGTCTAGGCACTGGTGGCTCACACTTGCGATCCTCCTAGCTATTCAGGAGGATGAGATCTAAGGTTCCTGGTTCAAATAAAGCCTGGAGAGAAAAGTCTATGACACACTTATCTATAATTAACCAGAAAAAGATAGAAGTGGAGATGTGGCTCAAGTGGTACAGTGCCAGCCTTGAGGGAAAAAGCCAAGCACAAGGCCCTGAGTCCAAGCCATTCTACATGAACAAAATAAGGGCCTACCAAAGAATAGTTTACCTAAATTTAGTCTGCTTCAGGAAGATGTTAAAATTACCATTTAAAAAATTGTTTACATTAATTGTTCAAAAGATGTAACACACTTTTATCCGTACCTTTACAGAGGGCTTCTAAAACTTACCATGGGATGTTAAAGGCACTATAATAAAGGATGGTCTAATTTTTCCTGCATTATCCTTGACCATTATTTGGACACTATGTTGTTCAAAACTGGAATCCTTTCCTTTAGCCAGATCAAAGGAACAATCAATGTGTTGACCTTTTCTATCGATGTTCTCACATTGAAGAATTTTTCCCAGGCTTCTGTGCCTATAAGACAAAATGCATTATTTTGAATAAGGTTAAGGGATATGGGGAGATTTTAAAGTAGATGTCAATGAAAAGCAATATTTGCAACAAGGCACAAAAGCTTTAAGAAAATGCTATTTTATCATGTGGCTGATTGTATACTCTAGAAGAAAAGACTGGTCTTTGTTGATAAGAAACTGGTAGTAACCATAGATATGGAAACTACAGGAATCCTGACCTCCTTTGATGAGGGAAGACATTCTGAACTAAGAGAAGTTTCACATTCTTGAAAATACTGTGTATTGAATTCATGGTTCCTCTCTGGTCTCCTCTTCCTGCTCCTTCATTTTTTTCACTTATTCCTCTCCTTCTCTCTTCTCAAGAGGCTCATGAACACACACATTCTTTTCTATTTTTGATTCCCTCATCTTACTCATCTCAGTGTGTGTGTGTGTGTGTGTGTTTCATATGCATGCGTGTCAATTGTGGAGCTTAAAATGAGGGTCTGAGCACTGCCCCTGAGCTTCTTTTGCTCCACTTCTGGCCTTTTGGTAGTTTATTGGAGATAAGAATCTCATGGACTTTCCTGCCTGGGCTGGCTCTGAACCATAACCCTCACATCTCAGCCTCCTAAGTAGCTAGGATTGCAGGTGTAAGCCACCCACCCAGCTTCATTCCAGTATTTTACTCCCACCACTCTAATTTGTATTCTGGAGATTCCTAGTCTTGACCTTCCATCTCACAGCTAGTCTCAGATTTCTTACCGTTCCATGTGAGTGCTCCACTCTTGCCTTATAGTCCATATTCAAAACAGATCACACACCCTTCCCCACCATGTTGCCTTTTCCTCCAACCTTCCCATTTCCATCACTCAGAGCTCATCTTCTCTAGCTCCTTAGATACTTAAAAATTACCTTTTGACTTCTTTCTATCACCAATTCTGTTTGCAAAGTTGCTTGGAGTCTCATCTTTTGTGATCTTCCCATTGCCCACACCCTAATTCATGATCTCACTGCTTCAGGCTTCATGTCCTTGCCAGATAAACCTCTCTGATCTTCATTATTAGTGCCCTCTGATTCCTGCCAGATCAATGTTCCGGAACACAATGGTTTTCTGTGTGTTCTCCAACATAGGACTTTCAATGTCTTCTGTAAGTGATACTGCTTGTATCTCACTCCTCATTTCACTCCTACAAGTACTTTTCATAATGACCATCAGCCCCTAATCTGGTGCAGTAAGGCAGAGTGTGCTTATTACATTTTTTGTGTAGGCTATCAGAGTAGTCTGTTTCTTAGTAAATGTCAAAAGACAGAGTTAAGCCTTACATCATCAGCCACAATGGGAATTGTGCAAAGATTCTGCAGAAAAGATAATTAAAAAAAAATGAACATAGCAGAGTTCCAAAGCTTTGACCTTTGACCTCAAAATCATCTGTAGCAAGTTAAAATGCTGGTTCCTAGCCAGGAACTACTGGAGGTTCATGCCTATAATTTCCATTACTCAGAAAGGCTAAGATTCAGAGGATGCTAGTTCAAGGCTGACCTGGGCAGAAAAGTCCATGAGGCTTCATCTCCAGATAACAAGCAAATATCTGGCCTGGAGGCATGGTTCAAGTGGTAGACACATGTGAGAAAGCAAGCTAAACAAGTTTACACACCAGAAAAAAATTTTTGTTTTTGGTCCGGTCGTGAGGCCTGAACTCTGGGCCTGGGTGCTGTCCCTCAGCTCTTCAGCTCAAGGCCAGTGTTCTACCACTTGAGCCACAGCGCCACTTCTGGTTTTTTTTCTTTTTTGCTTATGTGGTGCTGAGGAATTGAACCCAGGGCCTCATGCATGCAAGGCAAGCGCTCTACCACTGAGCCACCTTCCCAGCCCCAAGCTAAACAAGTTTAAAGACTTCAGTTCAAATCCCTGTACTACCTCCCAAAATTCCTGGTTCCTTAAACTCCCTAAGATCTGATTTAGAAGGTTTTCCCTAGGTCTAAAAATCAGCATTTGGACAGAATTCTGCTGCAAATCAAGGGTATTTTTGCAGTACTGGCAATTAAACCCAGGGCTGTTACAACCTAAAAAGTCATGCACTCAGCCACGTAAAGCCTTAAACATTCAGATCTAATGCATTTGCTCCTAAAGAGACTGAATAAAGAAATGCTTTAATACTGAAAATATTCTTTTCCTTCAAGAGATATTACAAGCTTGCCACTGGTGGCTCATGCCTGCAATTCTAGCTACTTAGGAAGCTGAGATCTGAGGATTATGGTTCAAAGCCAGCAAAAAAAAAAAAAAAAGATGACAGTCTTGCAGAAGTCTGTCATCTCCAACAAAGTACCAAAAAATCTAAAAGTGGATGTAGAGTGTGAGCCTTGAGCAAAAGAAGCTCAGGAACAGTGCCTAGGCCTTGAGTTCAAGTCCCAGGACCAGCACCAAAAAAAAAGAAAAAGAAAAAAGAAATAGGTATCTTACCAAACCTTTTCTACTAGTTGCAGGTCTCCTTATGATATAAAACTGTTTTAAAATTGTTATTATCATGAATGGTTTTTGAATCATACAGTCCTGGAATATTTTCCACTCATAGAAATAGAAACTAAAGACACTAAAGCTCTTTTCCCTTACATAACTAAAGAAAGCTAAGTAAAAAAAGTATTGTAAAAAAATGAAAGAGGCTGAGATCTGAGGATCATGGTTCAAAACTAGCCCAGGCAGGAAAGTCCATGAAACTCTTATCTCTAATCAAACACTCAGAAAAACCAGAAGTGGCACTGTGGCTCAGGTGGTAGAGCGCCAGCCTTGAGCTGAAGAGTTCAAACACCACAACCAACCAAAAAAAGAAAAAAAAAGAAAAAAAGAAAGGTATCTTCTGATAGGCACTCTTTTAGCTCCCTTGTTCTTTTCATATATAGTCACATTTAAAAATGTAAAGCCATTTCATTGTAATTTGAAAACACTAAAAGGGAAAACATTGGCTTTGAGCAGACAATCTTTAGGAACTTTTCTGTGAATGATCTGAAGAGAAATACAAGCTAGCAGGTGATTCTTATGAAAATTCCCACTTAGAATTCTAGTGAAGAATCCCACTAGAGACAGGAGAAGGAATTGGAAAAATTGAAGACTAGGCTTCTAACTCTGAAGATGACTGATATGGTAGGGGGGAAAAAACTCCCTAAAATTCATCACCCTGGATAGTCTGGAGCTATTCAGGTCAGGTTCCTTTAATGCCAGACTATCCCTTTGAGAACTTAAGTCACTGCCCTGGCAGGCTTGAAATAATTATTCTGAATTCAAAAACTGACTGTATATTTTCTGGTTGGAGATTGGGGGAAATAGTCTTTATCAAGTTTTGTGGTATAATTTACACCCAACCCTAAACCCTTTCTAGATGCTTGAGAATGAATACATATGGACTCCCTGCTTTTGTGAGTTTGATTGGAGGGTTTCTCTGTCTAGGGGAGAGCCAGGGTGGGAAGACATATGGGATTCATGCCAATTCTGTGTGGTGAAGGGAGAGGCCCTTACTGCATGTTGATTCTCTGCAAGGGAGTGGGAATAAGATACCAAAAACAACTACTATGTATGGAGTACTTACTATACATGATACCAGTTAATCACAGCACTATTACCACTATCCCCACTTTCATATTATAAACTATGGCTCAAAGACTTGCCTCAAATTACATGACTAGTAAGGAAGAGAACCAGGATTGGAACCTAAGCACTGTGGCTCTAAAAAGAATGAGTTGTGGAGTGACGGGGGGGGGGGGGGGGGTAAGAAGTTACAGAATGTATACCAATATCTGTGCTATCAAATTAAAGAACCACACGTTTCCAAAAAACTGGCTAGTGAGATTGAGCTGTTGAATTTTAATTTAAATGAAAATGTAAAAAGCCACATGCTGCTAGTAGATTCCATATTAAACAGCACAAGGGTACAGTGTGGGAAGGTACTCTATTGATAACTGGCTTTGGGAATGTGTGAAATAGGTAGAATCTTTGCTATCTTTACCCCAGCCTTAGACACTAGTAAACCAACACTTTGTAGCTTGCTTCTTTTTTCTTTTTAACCTGGTCCTGGGGCTTGACTTTGGAGGCTGGGCAATATCCCTGAGCTTCTTTGTACCACTTGAGCCACAGTGCCACTTCCAGGTTTTTCTGTGATTAATTGGAGATAAGAGTCTCACAGTCTTTCCTGCCTGGGCTGACTTCGAAGTTCAATCCTCAGATCTCTGGCTCCTGAGTATTACAAGCATGAGCCACCGGCACCCGGCCAGATTACTTCTTGAGCCAGTCCCAATTGTACACCAAGACTATGCCTTGCCAAAAGGCATCAACAGAGGGCTGAAAGCCAGCTCAAGCACTATCTGCTGTCAACTGTGGAGCAAGAGTCCATATCAGCTCAATTCAAACTGCTCAATTCAGTTTTTTTTCCCCAATTCATTCACCCCAGGGGAGCCTTCTATGCAATTTGAACTGAGACTTGGTTTGGGTAAAGCCATCCTCGAGACACTTCGCTATTTTCCTTTATTAGAATTCTCCTCAAGGACTAGGCCACCTTACCTACTTGCAATGACACCCCGATTCTAACAGTCTGGCTACTCGCCTACACAGTCTGCCATGCAATGACGTAGAGTTTTAAGATTTCCTTAATCCTAATATAGACTCAGCCTCTTTAAAGGACTTCCCTGTGGTTTTACCCATGATGACTCTGAGTGCTAATAACAAAATAAACATAGGGATGCTATCAAGTCCAAAGACACCTTAAAGCCTGCAGGAACAGCTATCCCCAAATTTCACTACAGCACTAGGCTAACCTTAGGCTTCATTTTTTGCCCAATCACTAGCAAGCCTTCAGGGAGCCAGAGCTATGCAATCCTCTGATTCCTCAACTATAAATGTCCTAAGGTGCCTAGACACACTAAGTCATCACAACCCTAGCTTTTGGATCCTAACTAATAGTTCATAGCTGATTTATGGGACACCTACCATGCGTGTCATAAGACACAGTCCCTGCTCTCAAAGAAGATTGA